GCTTGATGACGTTGGAAATGCACATTGTTTTGAAGTCGGATAACGGCTCTTTATTCATACTTTTTTGGTAGCACAAGGTAATAAAAATACAAAGACAGCCAAAATATTTATTTTACAAACTTGTCACGTGTTTTAATATTAAAAAATGATATTTATTATTTATTTACCATATTAATAATATTTAATGTGTATTTTTTTTAACCATGCTATTGCAAATCATTCTAATACTAATCAAATAATACAAATAAACATAAATTTTAAGTGTAATACGGAAAAGCGTATACTAAACTCGATTTGTACATCACAGAACTGTTAGTTTGTTATACAATTAGCACCGAATTTCTTTTTTAATTACCTTAACCCATTTACGAGTTAAGTCTTACGAGGAGGACACTCGGTACAGGTAATACTTCTAAAAATTACATATCTACCTGAATAAAATTATTAAGAAAAAACAACAAGATGATGTACACATTCGGACCCCATTTTATAAATAGTAAATTTGTTATTATAATTTAAAACAAGTAACATTAACAAAATACCATCGTACTACCTTCTTCATTCTTAAGCGCTTATATTACAAATAAAAATCATAATTGGATAAATCGAGATACCATTATTTTCTTACCGACGCGTAAAATCTTTCGTCAGATAAGGAAATTTTAATTTGAAATATAAATTTAATTGTATTACAAATTGTTTGCTATGAATATTTGAAAACTTTCATTTTGTAATATTAAAATGATGTACAAACGTATAGATTAAAAATAAAGTTAAGGGAAATATTGTCAAATCTGTAGGGAATTATAACTTATTGTTACTAATAAATAATCCCATACCGCGTTCAGAATTTAGTTTACGGTAGTTATAATTAAAATTATAACTTCTAGCTCATGTATACAAACAAATCATGTAAAATATCTTTTACCGGTATTCATATTTGACGTACATCTTATCATAATTCATATAAAATATATAATATCATATTTTTACATTATATACATTATGAGCCTTTCTGGACATAAAAAAACAGTAAACGGGCATTTTTCATTTATTTTTGGAAATTGATGTTAGGAGCCATGGTTACTGCTTAAAACCAATCACTTTAAGTGGTTATAACTTGGACGATTAATTCGATTTATGACACCTATTAGCTATTTAAATAGCTCAATAAAAACAATCTGCTCAACAAAATTTCACGAAGCCAATAAAATATAAAGTAGATAATTAAAGAATTAATTAAATATAGTTATTACTATCTAATGAGTAAGTGAAAATATGTCAATACACCAATCAGTAATATAAAAATTTAAATTAAATTTAAATAACGTAAAACAATCAGTTTGTTAGTAACTGTAACGTTAAATGGTAAATATATTGTAGTATTTTCTTCTTTTCAATTGAACGCCAAGTTCCTGTATTTACCCTTTGTAATAATCTGGCAGATGGTTAATGATTAAGATAATTTGTATCACACAAACAGTATAGTAAAGCCAGCGTCACAGTAATATTATATAATTAATACGTTATTATACTTTAATCAATAATAATAAGTGTGCTTCGAAATTTTTTGTTTCGTCGTTACCGAGATTAATGCGAATAATGTCGCCTACATTAAATAATTGTTTCGGCAATGATAACGGTTATGAATGGTTTTGAACGAGTACAAAAAAATAAACCGCAAAACAAACACCCATGGAAAGCTGTAGGGTTAGGCTATTATATATTTATAAAGGAAGAAAAAAAAATAATTTCCAAAATGTATGACTGATTACGCATTAATGCCAGTGGAAAGGCAACCGCTCGTTTTGTCATCCTTTAATGCAAAACTACTCCTAAGGTATCGATGTTAATGGAAAATCCTTACATAAACCCTTTTAAACACCAAGAGCACTTTTGAACCGCACGGTAGGACAAAGCACAAAACTTTTCAGGGTTTTAAATGGACCGTTGAAAACATTATAGGTACACGAGGGACATGCACGAAAAGCACACTTACTTTTGATCGGTTAATTACTGGTATGACTTCGTTACTATCAAAGTCAACCGAACTTCGGTGCTTTAAGTGCTCCCCGTGTGTCGCCTATGTCTATTCGCAATCCTTTCATACACTTCGACAACATCTATACAGCCTCCTGTGTTTTCACTATTACTGTCACACGCTGGATTGTTGTTTAGTGTTTTACCGCACGTTATGTGCTTTTTGGCGAATGCCTTTCACCCTCTACCACGTAGGTACTACTATCCCAGACGGTTAACGAGACGGTTGTCCATCAAAAAACAAACATTTAAAAAAAAATCAATAAGTTAAATTATTTTATACCGCAGTGTACTTTCTTTTATACAGCGACAAGCGGATTTCTACATTTTCAGTTTGTTTTTGGTTTCTTTGTTTCGGAATCGTAAAGCCCACCCCATTTTTCACGTAGCCATCCGCCTTTATATTTATTACTATTTAGACAACTACAGACTGTATGCTTAGCCACGATTACACTATTTAGTATATTTTACTGTAGTTGTTATTATTAAACCAAGACTAAAACCATGAGGTTTCTTTTTTTTAGTTTACATTATAATTAATTTACCATTAGGAAATCTAAAATTTCTGATAATAAATGATGCACAAGTATTGTCTTTCCTTCAAAAATTATACCATATTTATGCTGAAACACTAACCCTATAAAAAAAATACATAATAATATCAACTATGTCAGCAGCAACAGCTCTATTTATGTCAAATAAAGTGATACTCATGGTTGACTTCGTCTGCACGCGTTCTTCATTGATATTTTAAAACAGTAATTTACTTGAAATATTTAGGTATGTCCATTTGTATAGGTTGTTTTTCGATAGTATAACACAAAGTTTAAACGGAAAAACAAGGGTGCTTGAGTGTATATTCAATTACAGTTTGAACGCATTTATCGAGCTGAGAACGATAATTTTGTCGTTACTCAATAGGTACTGGCTATGACGTGAAGTATTTTCTCTGGGAAAAGATTTGTTGTCGGAGGACTTGGGCACCGTCGCGTCAATTCATTTTACACATTTTCCTTCCTCGTCCAAGTGTCAAAACCACAGAGTAGACACGACCTCACTCAGATAGTTGTCCGAGGTGTTACTTGACGTCGGTTGTATCCAATCGAGACCTTTCTATACACAGTTTTTCTCTCGGACATTAAAGTCGCATTTACATTAGGGTTGGCAGTGGCAGGTTTCATTGTGTCCCGCGCACAAGTGTTTTCCCGGAAAATAGTCTTTATTAAAGGTTTTCATCCTTGCCCGAGCAGAAACAAATGTCAGAGCTTTTAAACTATCTAGTCACGTATAACATAGGATTCCCCATATTGAATGTTTGCCCTAACCGGTGTATATGTATATATGTACATTGGTAGGTACTTGTAAAATATAATATGTATGTATAAACGGTATCACGTTTTTTTTTTTTTTTTTTTATGGATGACAAATGCACTGAAAGCGGGTCGGTTATTACGATAGCCGTTTTTCTTTTATCGCCTAAACCGCCTCGGATGATAAAAAAAAAAAAACCAATAAAAGGAAAATAATAGCAATAGACAGTCGTTGGCACTTTCAAAAGCCGGAGTCGTACTTCGATAGTCGTTTATTTCTCACAGGCTTCAGACTCTGCCTGAACCTGTACCGGAAGAGATGACACACATTGGGAATATTATCAATATTAGTGTAAACTCAAGGAGTTTTGTTGTTGTTTTTTTGACACCTATCTTCGATAGTAATAAAAAAACCAAAATATGTTTACCACTCAACCGTCGCGTCACGTGGGTCGTTTAATAATTACGTATATTATTTATGATATTTATTTAAAACAATTAACTGTCAACTAATAAGTGTACTTTATTTTATAGGTACGAATACCTAGCTATTAAAAAATTAACACACGAATTAAATAGATTTTGAATTCCGATTAATTGAACAATTATAAACTAAAACATTTGAATAATTCTCATCACGATTATAAAATCGTAAAATTTGATTTTACAGTAAATGTAAAATGTAACATTGAAATTAGTAATAATAGTTTAAAACATAGTCCATTCAAGTTTTAAATATTTTAGGCTTCGTTTTTTCGTAAATGTGCAATGTGTGGTAAAAGGCTAAAGAGTGAAAGGGAAGTACACTGGAAAAAACAGATAAGCAGATGATTAAATATTAAATTAAAACCCTAAAAACGAAAAAAATCGAGCTGAGGTAAATTAGTGCTTGATTTTTAACCCCTAACGTTGTGTGACGGTTCAGTGATCCGATAACATTATTAAGGGTTAATGGTGTTTAAGATATACTACTATTACCAAGAAAAATTAAATATATAATATATTAATAATATTATTTAAATGAAATGTGTTCATAATAATGTTAATAAAGACAAAAGAATCGTTGAATGAATTAAAGATGTTTATTATGAATATGTTAATGAATGTTAACTGTAATTATAATCCGAGTTATGTAAAATTAATAAACATAATGTAACAATTTATTTCTCAATTATAATTTAACGCCATTATACATAATTATGGCGAGTATGATATTTTATTAAATTTATAATTTATTAATTACCATCCAAGTGATGTTTTCTCGCTTCATTATATGTCAATAAAAAACGCATACTTAGAGCCGATTGTAATATACAACGTCAATTTTCAGAATTTTGTTATGATGTATGAATACACAAAAAACCAATGTAATATTTAGCCAAAAAAAAAAAATACTATAAGGAAGAATAGAGTTAAACCTTCGGGATCTTGTTCAGGGCTGATTTGAGTTACAGCCACTATTAGACCGTTTTTATAGTTTGCTGATGGTGAAACAACAATTATTTCACTTCAGTCGCAAAAACATTACATGTTAAAAAATAATTCGTAATATCTTATAAAACATGGCAAATAGGCCTTAGCGTTGACTTTTATTTCATAGGGATTATATGTACAAAATGCATGAACTATTTTATGTTTTTCTGTCAACAGGAATCGATGTTGTACGATGATTGAGAACAACACAAAATGCAAACTTATAACGCAAAAAGTAAAACATATTATTTAACAGTATAGTAATAATTGAAGAAACTACATTCTTCAACATATACAATGATATAAAAAGCGCGACATAAGTGTATGAAGTCCAGATTCCGCACCTAATACAATAGTAGGTGTAAAAGGTGTAGGTACCTATACACTCCTTATAAAATATAGTATTTACCGAGAAAATATTATCTCGTTGTCCTTTATGTGTTAAATTATGCCAACAACAAGTAAACTCACACTATTACCAAGCCTGTGCGGTGGCGGTATAGCAGCATTCATTAATATTTATGGGCCAGGCCATTCGGCTGCGGTCGCCGTAAGTTAGAGAGAGGTCTGTTTTTGGCTGAATGGCGTTACATTATCAAACCAATAAACGTTATTGGACGTTTACTGTCGGTGTAGGTTTTTTTTTTCTTATTGTACAACAACAATCGTTTAGTTATTATTGCCAGCTCGAATGCGAAGACGTCATATGATTTCCATTGGCCAGATCCAGATCCTCTCGACGCCGCGGTCGGGAACAGGCAAAGTGGATAGAGTTCATATTACGCCGAATCCCTATGACAATTCCCTAAACTTACAACAGCAACGCGAGTGCACGATACTATTATTGTAATATTATTTGCCGCCAAATAAAACGCTACCGTCGCTGGTCGGACGCCTTAAAGGATTTTCCACGGCAGCGCCACACGACCGCTGAAAGTATCCTTTAACCTGTAAAAGAAAATTGGAATGTTTTTCTTTTCCCGTTTTAATTTAGCCGTTTTCGACCCGAATAACAGAACTGACAATATTTTCCGGATCTTACACCGACACGGTGTTTTCACAAAATAGTTGCCAAAGAGTGATTTAATGGTTCGCCGACGCGTAGGTTATTCAATAATAGCTCGTGTTTTGTTCATCAACCGCAAAACTTTTCCCGGCCAATAAGTTAATTAAGGCAAAGTGGGTAACACGCGTTTTACCGAAAACCGTCGTGACTTTTGCCACGAAATCACTGTAAACATACCTTGTACTCGACACAGCAAATCAACAGTTTCCAAGAACGTTATTTCCAATGTCTAAGAGTTTCTAAACTATTTACCTGTTAATTTCACTATTTAGGGTTGGAACTTAAACTTACATTTTAGCTTCGATGTGGTGAGCTGAGAAGGTGTTGTTTTTACAACGATGTGTTTTTATTTTTTATTTTTGTATCTGGACCCACGATATCTCGTAAACCGCTGAACTGATTTCTTCGTGTAGCAACTTTATAGGTCAGAAATCATACGTGGAAGGTACTCTAACGGGCCAAAAATTTTAAAAAGTCATCCCTTCCTCATCAAAATCTAGAAAATCACCCAAAAAATTTACAAATTTTTCAACTTCAAATTACGATGCTCTATACCTTATTTAAAAATAGTCGAAAATGTTCCAAATTTATATGAATTGTTTTTCAAACATAGTACTATCGATAAACATTAACAAACCAAAAAAATATCATAAACCCTTTCCCTTAGAAGGGATAGAATTTTTTTCTTTATTTCACTTTTTCATGGAAATTTTTAGATATTTAGATCTGAAAATTAGACCGAAAGTAGATCTAAAATGGAACTATAACATATACAATTTTCTCAAAATTCTGTAGTCAAATTTTTTTTTTATTAAGGAAAAACCCCAAAAATAGGGATAAATTTACACTTTGGCCGTAGTCAATTTCTAGGTTGCTATGTGCGAGTGAATCAACAGTCAACAGGTAATGAAAATATTTGTATTATATTGTTAATTACGATATATGGGTAACAATGACAGTACGTTTTTATAGACAGACGATCAACCCTTATCGTATCCACCCTGCACAAGACTAAATATTAAATTTTAAGTACATTATTGCTGGTCCCACGATATCTTCTAAACCGCTATAACTGGTTTGAACATACTATCCGCAGATTCGCATCGAAGTGTTTATTTAAAAGTGATTTTATCACTATCAGTTATAATAAAATCTGTAGACCTGTGACCTCTCCGTCCCCACTATGCCCCGACCCCACTGTACTGGCTTTTTTTTTTTTGTTGTAAATATACATTACATACTTATTATATGAGCATATTTATCGATAACATATTGGCTGGTGTAAATCCGATTTCTATTTATAGTATTAATAATTATTAATTCTACATTGTCAAACTATTCGGGCAGAAACACGGTTACAATATCCCCAGTAAAACCCGGTAATATTATGTCAACGTGATATTATGATAATAATAATCGTGTAATCCTATCAGGGTGCGATGATAATGACAATGTCGTCTGTAATTTAATATAGACGATACAACAGCCCATATTACGTATATATATATATATATAATACTAAGCGAGTGTATTGTGTACTTACACTCAAAATCGATCCAAATTCAAAACGCTATCAGCACACCGCAACGTCTATTTACTTTTACAGGCGTCCCCGTTATAATATCATCACACTCTTGGTGTTATACGATATAAATATATATATATGTCGATTTTCACAAGGGACCGGACAATCATAAGCCCACAATAAAACAACTATAGAATGTGTAAAAAGAACAAATTTTATCGGCCGCGCGTGACCAAAATATTACTACACACGCGATGGTATAATATTTAAGACGGTCAGTGCATCCACCACGTGCTCAACGGCTGTCGTAGTCGACCCCATGAGATTAGAAATATTGACTGACCTATCGCTAAGTAATAACTTCTGATTTGCGCCACAGATAGATAAATCTGATACTGACACTTTTTCTTTCTATTCTGTAAAATATCGGTATAACTCATTTTTCTTTTCTTATGGAAACTTTTTGTACCTTTTAGTCGGTCTCCGGTCCATTTTCCCGGGATTACCACTTTTCGTGATGTCATTAAGCGAGTATTCTATTTCTCGGGCGACTGAAGTCGATTCGAATAAGTTAAATCAATGGCAACTGGTGAAACCAGAACGAATCAAAATATTAACAGCACAAGGCAATATTGTAGATTAGGTTACCTAACTTGAGTAGTCTCGCAGCAACGTGGCTTTTTCTCACAGCATACATTGGTTTTCTCCATGATGTCGAACGATATTTTGTGTATTACTTGAAGTGTTCATTAAAGGTGTAAACAACGATTAACTTTTAAGTTCATTGCTAATCCACCTTCACCGCTTTTCGGCACTGCAGATATTTGACGCAGCTCACAACTGTGGTGTCAGAAGTGTAATTACAAAGAAATCCAAGGTTAATTCCTAACTCCAATACGGAAACTTACGACGCAGCACGCTTAATGAATTTACGACTTAAATATTTAAAGGTTCATTTAAAGAATATTTGTATTCCTCGAGTATACGTTTCTGAAAATGTGATACTATCTTATTTACAAATGTAATTCAATTCACTAAACTACAATTATAATTTGAAGGAAAATTAACTCATTTTTAATAACCGCGTACAAAGTATTCTAAATAAACTAACTTTAGCATTTCTACAAAGAAAAGTCACGAAGACCGTAAAATTATTGCCTATACTAGTCACTAGAGCAAATCGCCTTTTAATAGCGACGGATTAATTAACTACAGGAACTATAGATTGTGAATCTAATAATAAAATATGAGTAATTGTCTATTATGTAAAAAATTAAAAAATGTAAATAAAATGTAATTAAAATTATAAACATAATAGAATTAAGCGTTATTACAAAAAACATGTCCAATAGTAAGAAAATAAATAAAAAATCACGTTTCAACTGTATTCTAGGTCAACCAATGTTCAACCATAGACCTTAGAAGGCTCTTGCAGGCTCGAAAAAACGTAGATATATGACGTTAAGAAATTTTCTGAATCATTTTTAAACTTAAAGTTGATCATTTATCTTGTTTAGATTAATAGTCAGCATACCGATCGGGATAGGTATATCGAAATTCACGTACCTACATTTATATACATGATAAAAAACTGTATTGGTAGACAACGGTTATTAGCACATTTCTTTTTATAAGGTTTATTTTATTATTTATCGTTATTCATTGTATTTTATCGGTTGCTAATAATTTTCTACTTTTATTGGACATATTACGATTTTCGAGAAAAATTAACGTCTTATACATTTAAAATATTTTTGAAAGATGCCTCCATAGTAAGTGTTTTTTAGTATTCGTATTGCATAATACGCTATTAAACCCTTTATACTATTAAAATTCCATTGTATGACGTCAAATTGTACTGATAAAAAAATATTTTAACTCGAAAAAAATGTTTCGTGAGCAGTTTAATCTTAAAATTTCACGAGAAAAGAAAAAAATATATATATAAAATTTAATCTAAAAGCGAATAATGATAATATAGCAAAAAAATACATGTTGTATTATAATAATATTACATCGAACCATCCATAACCCGTTAACAGGGTCGCTTCAGAATTTTAATATCTGTGGGCGTATACAACGCTTGACTTCCTTTTCCTCTCTATGCTCTTGTCAAAATATGAATTTCACTTTTTTCCCTAAACATAAGTCGACTCAAATCATATTAACCACTTTGCACCCGAATGTTTGTCATATTTTGAACGGGATACACCCATATTATACAACACATTTGCATTAAAGGGTTTTCGATGATAGCAACATATAAAAGAATAAAACAACCATACATCATTAATTATTTTGAAATGACTTAATCGTTATAATTCATTTCTCTGTATACATATTTGACACAAAAAGTGCACGTGAATATTTAAATATTAAAAAAATGATAATTTAAACAGCTTGTTTTTTAATTTTCATATTCAATTTCACCGCATAGATATTAGGTATATTAAGTATTACACCTGCTAATTAGTTATAAAATAATAAATAAACAAAATTAAACTAATATTTAGATAATAATATGATCAATAATGAGTTTTAAGAAATGTTTGACTGTTTTAATTAGTTCTTTTATGAACATTTCAATTTCAATATTATTTATTTCTAAATTTGTAATATAACGTATTTTATTATAACTGCATAA